GGCAGTAGGGTGCAGGATCACTGCTGCTGCTGCTGCTGCTGCTGCTGCTGCTGCTCCTGCTGCTTTTGCTGTCCCTGCCACCAGCCCGCCCTATTCCTGATGGGGTGCCACTTGTGGGGAAGAGAGGGCGGGAAAGGTAGGCTGGGTCTACTGACCCAGAGAGGGGCAGGCCACTGACCCCGGAAAGGCAGTGAGAAGGGCCATGGCTAGTGGCAAGGTCCCCAGGGACAGGACTCAGTGAGGTAGCTGCAGTCCCGATTCTGCACTGGCCGTGATGGCAGCGGCCAAGGCTCAACCTTCCTCCTCCTGTGGGCACGGTGTCTCCTCCCACCTCAGACCAGGCACTGCAGGTCCCACTGGAGAGCCGGGCACGGATGGCTCCTACACTCATTTCAACTTGGCTGGAGGTGGAGGTTGTACCATGGCCTGTCCAGACGGTTTGTGGGGTGTTGTTTTTGTATGTCAATAGGAGAGAGAGAAACATACACACAAAGACACAGGGGTTTTTGCCAGGGTCTCGCCCTGGTGATCCGGTGTCCCAGACTCTCAGTTAGCTAGAACGATAGCCTTGCATTATTCCATGTGTCCTGTCAGATCAGTCCCTGCTCTGAGTTTTGTCTTCCCTGTGTCCCCAGCCTTGCAGACTGGTGGCTTACCAATTGTGTCATCATGGCTGGTACTCTTTTTTCCCAGAAATATTTCTCTGCTCATTTCTGTTGTAACCCACTCAATATCGTCTTAGTTAGCTTCTTTGAAAGTATACAAATAATTACATTTGGTCCAACGATTATTCTCTGGCCTTACTGTATGTTAATATTGCCCCACATTGGAATCTACTGCCCATGACCTTCCCCTGGAAATCTCTTCTGTTAGTTCCTATCATGACTGAGCTGGTGGTTTCTTCTCTTTCCCCCTGAGTCCTTCTAATTTCTCCATCTTACTGTAGCTCATCCAAGCGTTCCATCCTGTTCTTCCTCCTTCCCACACTGCAGTTCTTGACTGATGGGGCCCTGTGTGGTTTGGCAGTTCACCTCAGTCACTTTCTTTCCTCATGCAAATGACTAGCCAGCATAACCAGTGTAGAATGCATCAACTTTAAGTGGTAATACTTCTCAATGCCAACGCCCATAAAGTGTATGACATTAGTTGATTTTAACAGTGAAGATTTTTTTTTTTTAGTTTAATCTTCCAAATGTGCCAGATTCCAGGACATTTTTTATAGTTACATTCAGTAAACGACTCAGCTAGCAAATTAGTTTCAAGGTCAAAAACTGCTCCCAAGGTGAACTTTTGGGGGAAAAAAAATAATCAGCAAAACACCCCTGGCAATCTTCAGGAACTGATGACTAATTCTCCAGGATCTTTTATGGCTATTTCACCACAGCACTCTGGACTTTCCTCAGGGCTCGGGCTTCCTCGCAGACTGCTGCTTCATGGACGATAGCTTCATTGCTTCGAGTAGGGATTAAGCTAGTCAAGGGACAAATAGTGCAGTGTTTATTATAGCTCTTACATCAGGTAACTTTCAACCTTAAAACCCTTTGTGGAAAGCCCAGTTATGGAACCGTAGCTGATGGTAGGATGAGTAAATATTACCTTCAGTGCTGGCTACCTTATCAGAACACACTGTGCCACTAATTCTCTCACAGAGCTGTGAGGTGGATAACAAACAGCTGGATTTGAGGGACTTTTGTTTGTCTCCAAATAATATGGCTTTTATTTTCTCCAGCTTGCTTTTTTCAGCGATTCTAACCAACGCCATCTAGTACATTCGCAATTTTGTTTCTTTGTTTAGAGATCTTGCCGCAGCAGTAACTTGTTAAATAAGTGTAATTACAGATGCACAACTCAAAATGTTTACTAGGTTTTAAATTTAGCCATCGGTTGGTTATGTTAAATTGATAGTAAGTGGAATAGAAATTTTTTGTTTTTTGTTTTTGTTTGTTTTATTTTTTAAGTAGTAATTCAGTAGATTTAATTTGAACAAATTTACTGCCAGAATTCAGATAGGGTAGATTTTGTTCAGCTTTTGATGGTTGGGGCTCTAGGATATTCTTGGTTTTCAGTATCTTAGAACTTATTGAGTCTTCCTTCAATAAATAAAAAAGTGCACTTTTCACATACCTGTAATCTTGTGCTTCTTTGAAACTAATATACTAGCTGAGTTTTTTACTGAGGATTATTATAAGGGCCTGGAGGTGTGGGAGTGGAGTGAAAAACCTTTGTGCTTTCCAGTGTAAGGGAAAAGCAGACAGGCACTATGTTTGATTAGGCAGAAAACATCAGGATTTCTGAAGCAACCCTCAAAATGGTCTCTGTGTTTTCTGCCTTGTGACATAAGTCACTTTGCCCTTTAAAAGAATGTGGGAAGCTCAGGTTTGTGACAGCAAGGACAGAGAAACATTTTGTGCTTCCTGAGGCTCTCCTCTGCTAGGCGGAGTGCTTAGTGCTTAGTGCTTCAGACGTCAGCCCCAAGCCATTGCTACCTCCTTCCAGCTGCCTGGGCAGGAGTGTTTGTGTGGAGCTGGAGCTCTTGCCCTCCTCGGTAATCATCCTCACCTCCCTTTCCTCCACATGCATTAGATGAGATGCGTCTGAGTCTGCAAGGCTACATTTTAAGGACTCTCACACTGGGCTCTCAGAAAGGTACACACTTTATGTTTTATATATATATGCATATATATATCAGAAATGTACACACACATACATATACACACATATTTACATATGTATGTGTGTGTATATA